CGGAACCCCCATGATGTGAACTACTGGCCACAGAGACCGGCACGGGCACGGGCACCGCCACAGTGCCGCCGCTGCCGTTCAGTAGACCCAACTGATGATCATAGCTGGCCAAGGAGCTCATCGAGGAGAGGACGAGGGCTGCTGCCATCGCCTCGTGATTGTAGAATGCCGACACTGGTGCCTTCGATGGCTGTGCGGCATTAAGCAAGGGTCATTGATGCGATGATGTTCCAGCTCCACCGTTTCCGGCTCCGGCTCCACCCTTCATGGCGCCACCGCCACCGCTTGGTGAGACGGAAAACTGGTTTTGCCAACTATTTTGAAGTGTCATATGCTTCTCAAGGTTTTTCAGGTCGGACAACGTCTTCATTACTTGGGCGTTGCTGCTGAGATCGTAGACATGTTGCTGTTGACCCACAGTCATCCCTCCACTGGGTCCCATTCCCACACCCACACCCACTTTGGCAGTGTGATGATTATTGTTGTTGTTGTTGTGGTTCTTGTGGTTGTAGATATACATGTTGTCCGTTTTGAAGCCCAGTACTGATGACGCTCCATTGGCCTTCCCCGCTGTGCCTGTGGCTGTCTTTCCCTTGCTTTGAGTCTTTGTCTTTGTTTTGGAGGTTTGCGGCTTCGCTGTCGCTGTCACCGTTGCCATCGCCATTGCTCCGGCTGGATAGACACCCACAATCTCAACGCCATCCGACTCGCTGCTGCTCTCCAAATTGACCGAAGAGTTTTGCAGCTGAGTGGCGTAGGAGATGCAGCCACCGCTGTTGGGGCTGGTGCTGCTGTTGATGCTGCTTCTGCTGTTGGTGCTGGTGATGACGGGCGTCGGCGTCGGCTTGGGCGTGATCGTGATGGTGGTGGAGGAATGTGCAGCCAGCTGCTTTGATGTCTGCAGGATGTCGCTGGGACACCGGTAGTCATCCAAGTTGATGACATGCGGCGATGGTCGTGCTCCACTGATCACCTTGGAATGTGCTGCAGTGCTGCTGCTACAGATGCTGCCTGTTTGTTGACTGTTGATTGTCGTGATGCTAGGATTGCTGCCGGCGGCAGCTGCCAGCGTTGCCGCTGTTATGAGATTGTACATGCTCTGGTGTTGGTCCGATGTCCTAGTGGATGCTGCAAGATCGCCGAGCATGCCCGCCAAGGCAGCCGCCTGAGCCGATGTACTGGGCATACACAAAAGGTTCTCCAGATTGCCAGCAGCAGCACTCACAGGTACTGCTGCAGCCGGCGTGACCTGGATTTGAGGTGGGGGCTGCTGCTGCTGGAGGGGCTGCGGCTGCTGGAGCGGCTGGTGCTGCTGATGCTTTGGCAGCTTTGTTTTCGGTGGCTTGGTGGTTTTGCCGGTTGGCTGCTCTTTGAGCTTGCGCTTCAGGCTATTGGATGAGGCACTTGTAGCTGAGTCCGTGTCCGAGTTGCCACGCGAGCGACTTGGTCCTGCTCCTCCTGGCGGCAACTCGTCCACTACTTGTCTTATATAATTATTGGCCTGCGGCAGTGGCAGTGGCTCTGGTGTGGCAGCCGCAGCAGCGGCCGTTGGTTTCGCTGCAGTCTTCGGCTTCTCTGTGGACCTTCTGCTGGAGTTCTTTTGGCGGTTGATTTCACGCTGCAGCTCATCGTAGCGCATCCAGCCCATGGGCCACAGTTCTACGACCTTCTCCTTCATATAACCATTGATGAAATCCTCCAGTGAGTCCTTGCGCTTGCCGAGCACAGCGTAGGAGGTCCAGCGTGCCTGATAGACGGTGAACAAAAGGTTTCGCAGCTCGCTGGTCCACTGGAACTTCTTGCGCGGCATCTTCGGCGGCACCTCCGAGTTCACATCCGCCGCTCTGCAAATGTGTTAGAAATGAGGGGAAACCTAAGGGGTAAATGATTCCAATTATCTTACGCCTGCTCTGCAAAATGATGCAGCTCCACTTCGTAGCTGGCTATTGCCTTGGGCATGGATTCGGACACCGCACGCCGCAGACTTTCCAATGCAATGGTTGTCCTCGTCTTCTCCTCCTTGGACCGCAGTGCTTTGCCCTTGCGCAGTATATAGTATTTGGGCAGCTGCAGCTGGTACTCGATGTGCGAGAAGACCATATTCCGCTCGTTTCGATCCGTGCAGAGCAGTGCCTCGTAGACCCTACAGAAAAGAAAAGATTTATCGCTTAGCAGTGCTTGTCAGGTGTCTCTAGAAAACTCACTTTAGAAGCAGGGAGCTGAGATTGTTGTCCAGCGTGAACTTTTTGCCGCACATGTCGCGGCTTTTGACCGTCTCCTTGAAACAGTTGACGGTGCTCAGAATATCCGCGTCCAGGGATGTCGGCAGCTGCGTGTCAGCCGTTCGCAGATCTTTAAGGGGGGGAAAAAATAGAAAATAGCAATATTATCTCTAAAAATATCCCTGCGAGAGAGACATACTTTCACCAGCTTGGCCTTGGCCTTGGCCCTGGCCCTTGGGCGTTTTATCCATCGTGGCCTGATCTGGGACGGAGTCGGTGTCACAGCTGGTCTCCAGATCATCCGTGGAATGGCACTTCAGTTCGCCATTGACAACAGTTCCTTTGACCGCAGCTGTGCCGCTCTGTGACTTGAGGAAGCTATCCCTTTTGGCCTTGAGCATGTCCTTGACGGTCGTGGTCTTGACCACCTTCTTGAGGGCCTGGGCCTGCGCCTGACGCACCTCCGAATCGGAATTGTCCACGGCACTGGGTCGCGGCGAGTTCGACGAAGAGGAGGTCACGGTCAGCGTTTTGGTGGGCTTTGTGGTGCTGGTGGTGCTGGAGCCAGAACCACTGGACTTTGACTTTGACTTGGATTTGGTTGCCACAGAACCCGACCCGCCACCGCCAGAGCTGATCTTCGCTCTCTTTGCCTGATGATTGGATTTGTACTTGTCATTGGAGTTGGACTTTGCTGTGTTCGCAGAGTCGCCATCGTCCAGGCTTTCGCTATCGGAGTCCTCCTCATCATCATCATCATCATCATCGTCAGATTCCTCCGACTCGCTGTCTGATGACCCATCACCATCCGATCCGTTGTTGTTGTCTTCGTTATCCTCGCCAGACGAGGACGAGGAGGAAGAAGAGGATGAACTTTCGGAACTCGAGGAGACGATGCGCTTGCGCGATCTCTCTGGCATTTTGATGATCGCATCCGTTCGAGTGGTGTATGATTTCTTGGTCAAGGGTTTGAACTCTAAGGCGCCGGAGTTGATGTAGAAGCCCCCCTCAAGGGTCTCCACCTCCTCGGGTATGATTTCATCGTACTGCAAAAGGGAAATGGGAAACCTTTTAGCCCAGAATTGCGATTCCGTTTTGGTTAAATGTGTAGTACCGCTTCTGAATTGTCAATGAAGGAGTCGGTGTCATCGTAGCCCACGCCAATGTCCCGATGATCTTCCCTTCTGCTGCGTCCACGTCCTCTGGCATAGGCGGTGCCATACTTGGCCTCCAGCTCTTTGGCAATGCGTTGAACATCATCATCGTTGTCGGCAAACGGATCGCTGCTGCTGAAACCGTTGCCAGTCTTTAGCTTAAGCTTCTTGGCCTTTTTCTGTAACACAAAACCAAGCGTTAGCATTGAGAGAGCTACTGGATACCCTAAAGGGGGGATAAATACCTTCTCCAAATACAATAGCTTCGAATAATTAAACTCTGGATAGTTGACGGTGTCCGTCTCGAAGAGTTTGAGATTGATGCGAATGCTTTTCGTTGTCTTTGCTGGCTTGTTTTGGACGGCCGGCACCTCCGGCTCCAATATGTTGCTGCCGAATCTCGAGAATACGGATTCGCTCTGGATGATTGAAGTAAGGGAGACACGCTTATGTTCGCCCCCCCTCGACATTTCCGAGCAAGCGGCAAGCGCACACGCACACGCACGAGAGAAGAGAACCTTCTTTGCTTCCTGCCTTCCCGCCCTTTTGGATGATAGAAGCGCGAGGCCGCCGCCAGCAGCAGCGCCGCGTGTTTCTTCTTCTCCTCTGTGTGTCACACGAAAACAACGTCAACGACCACTCACACTCGCACTCCTCTCCCACCTCTCCTGCGACGGTGGACGAGGGGACGGGGGACGAGGAGGGATGTGTCTCTTTCCGTTTCTGCACGTACACCACCAACAACAACTAGCCGCAGCCTGTTTTCACTTTTACTCTCCTTTTATATTATTTGCAACCGATCCGCAGGAATTCAACACACAAAAACAATCTTTAGAAAAACATAAACAAATGCGAACGCGACGGGCCCTCGGTTTTGATTCCCGAAAGTTAATCAACAGCGATTTTCGCTCTTTCTTTGCGCTCTGCTCTTTCTTTATCTGGCCGCCCCCCGCGCGCTTGCAGATATGCAGGCCACGGATTATTTGTCACTTTTCTGCAGTTTGGGAAAGAAAAAAATTTCGGTTTAATTTACTCGATTGCCGGCACAAAAACAATACAAGTCGCATATTCGGTGCATCCGGGACCACAAACACTGGCTAATCGCACTTAAGTAGGACACATTAAACAGCATGAAATACGCGCTTTTGCAGTTTTGCGAGCGGGCTTGTAATTTGTTTCTTATTAAAATCCCGTGGCCCGTCCTCAACGCTATACATCTCCGACCCCGCGTTTAACTTTTAGGCCAGCACTGTGCAGCCCTGGTCGCGGAGATTTCGCAATATACCTGTCTCGCTTGCTTCAACTAAGATTGTGATAAGAGAACGGTTTACACTTGACGGTATCAATCAATGTGTGCTTCTTTACAAATTAAATACTTTTATTTTGTACATTTAAACCAGATATGCTTAATTCTAGAGCCCCTGAGCGATAGTTTGGATTCACTTACCTGAAATTCACTTAATATTTTTGAAAATATTACAACCAGCTGATGTTGTTATTGTAGCCCTCGTTAGTGATGCACATTTCTGGTTTGTTTTGAACACAACCCTGCCAGCGCCAGCTGTTGGAAAGTTGTTAGCAAGTGGGGGCTCTGAGTGTTTTGGATTTTTGGGGTCTCTCTCAGTATTATTGTGGGGCTGCCTGCCTCACGTAACTACGCCAAGTGTTTGCTTATAATTAGTGCAAGTGGATTGGAGCAAATACGTGAGTTTTTGTTCATACACATGTCTGTGGGTGCTCTACTCCAATAAATAGTTGCATGCAAAGAAATTCGGTCGAAACTGCAAGCTGTTATTAATGAAAATTGGTGGTTGGCTCTGCTGCCACTATCAAATGAAAGCGATAAGAATTGTGCAATTAATGAAAGTGTGCCACTGCAGTGTCGTGTGCCGTGCAGTGGTCCCAAGCCACTCGTTTTTACAAATACACACACTATGTATGTATATATTTTTTATGCTGCCTTTATGTTTGCAGTCCCCCCCTCTCGAGTGCAAGTGACCGCCACCGCCGTTCAAAGAGCAACGTACGGTACTTTAAAACTCTCCACCAACAAAGGAAAGGAGCCACCCGCCCCCCACTGGTGGGTCATCGTTTTGTGACTTTCGCCCGAAGGCCCTGAACGACACAGGAATCAAATGAAACAAAGCAGTCTCCAGTCCCCCGCCCACACGTATACAGGGCAGGCGCGCCAGTAAAGAAAGAGCTTCTTTGTTGTCTTGTTTTTATGTTGGTTGGTTGTTCCATTTCATTTGCAACGGAAGAGAAGCCAGCACGCATAGCCGCCAGAGGTGAGTAATGCGTTCCATTAGCAATTACCTGGGCCAGCGAAAACAGAGAAAATAGTACTCTGCAGAACATCATCAGCGATAAGAATCTATTTCTGAGTACAGAATTCTTTTATCAGACTCCGCCGTAAGACCCATAAGTACTCGCGGTACACGGTACGGAATCCCAATGCAAACAAGTGTCGACCAACGTGTCTCTCCATTTAATTGGATTCCGGAATTTCAAAGCCCCAAAAAGGTACTATACGCGGTAAATGACCTTGAATACATGTGTCGCCTTGTGAAATCCAAATGTGTCCAACGAATTTTCCATGAAAAGCGAAATGTTTGTTTGAAAACGCGTCCATTTCAGGCGCTCAACTGGTTTTCCATTTGGGCAGTGGCCGGCGCAAAAAAAAAAAAAAACCAACAGATAATGAATAGCAACAAGTTGCGCGTACGAATTTAATTCACTTTTAATGCGTCATTATACAATTTTGCGACACGCCAAATGGCGGCGCTGCTGTTTTACCGATGATCATTCCCGATCTCGGTCTTCGGCTCGGTCTTCGTTTCCTCGTCGTCTCAAAGTTCACGATCATTATCAAAGAACAGCGACATCTCGCATCATTGACATGCAAAAGCGATAAAAGAGATGCCAAAAGCAACAAGAAGAACGAATGAATGGCCCAGCCTTAGGGGAACCGAAGTGCTAGATACCCTGCAGTTTAGTCAGAGCAAACTTTTTATCTGTTCCCAGTGTAACTAGACACCAGATCTGATCCTGGCGGAATCTCTGTGGGACTAAATAGCAGAAGGACATGTACTATTTTCAATTAAATATTTCTAAATTAATTATTTCTTTGATCTAAAAAAAAAACGGCAAGACCAAAAACTCTTATCAGCGAAACTCGAGTCGTGCATCATGCACACGACATGTATGTTCTTTTTTTCAATTCTTGGAACTTATCTTCTGCAGCCTTCGCTTGAGCTTTTGCCAAATCCTAAGACTTTCTGAAAGGGCATAAAAAGGGCAAACGGAAACTAAATAAAGCGTACGCTTTTAAAAATCAGGTTATTAATTGCGGAAAAAACATATTTAATGTGAAAGAAATAAAAAAAATGATTTATTATTTGTTGATTTTCGCTCGGCCACTGCCCAAATGATAATTAAAATTCAAACGAGTGAAAGTTCTGATTTATTTGATTACAAAACCTCTGAGAACTGAAGAATCCAGATGGATACTGAAATAACAAAATATAATTGAATAAAACAGACATTGCCTGGCGACCACCTTAATATGAGATCACTTTCTGTTGTCTGTTCAAACAACTATTGTGCAATAATATACCCACGAACATAGAATACTTTAATGTGTAAGTATCAATCATTTGTACCCTGTATATGCCGTACAAAAGACAATGAATATTGAGAACAAAAAGTACCGGTGAGGTGACTTCTAACACCCGCTATACGCTATACATGGGGACATATGTATGTACATATGCATATACCTATGTAGTACGAGTACTGGCAGTCGTTGTCTCTCTGTGTATCGTGGTTTGGTTCCATTTTAGAAACGATGACGCATTGACGGAAATGTATTTACAAATGAACTGTTTTTTTTTCGCAGACCAGAGACTCATTACACAGACAAACACCCGAGAAAAGGGCCCATAGATGATAAGATTTCAATCACTAGAACTCTTCTCATTTCCATTTTGTCGCTCACAGATCTCTTACAGCAACAGGCAGCAGCACAAGCAGCGGCACAGGCAACATGACAGAGAGCGAGGAACTGATGAACAAGTATGGAGAGCCCTTGCGCTATGATCGGAATTTCAAGGGACCACGTCAGCGGGATCGCAGCTGCACGGATGTGCCCTGCCTGCTGCTGTTCGTACTCTTCCTGGCTGGTTGGGGCTTCATTGCCCACTATGCGATCACCCATGGCGATCTCAACAAGCTGATGGTGCCGACGGACTCGTTCAATCAGAAGTGCGGCATCGATTCGCCTGTTTTGCACAAGAAGAATTTGTTCTTCTTCAATCTGGAGCAGTGCATTGACCCGCTCGTGCCGATTACTGGCTGCCCCACACCACAAGTAAGTGGTGATTCATATGATCTTTAAGAGTAAATATCCCTGAAACTTAAACCTTGATCCTGGCAGGTATGCGTGGAGAGCTGTCCCACACAAACGTTCATCTGGGACACCATGCACGACAGCCTGAGCTATGAGGAGCTGAGGAGTCGCCTCATCTGTTTGACGGATGAGCACAAGGCAAAAATTCGCAGCAAAGCCGATATGCAGCGGGCCATCGATCAGAATCTCTGCGCTCGCTGGTACATCAAGAGTGCGCCCTTCCTCAATCGCTGTTTATTCGAGTTCTCGCCACAGATGTGCGAGTTTATTCCCTCGTTTCTGCTGAAGGGCGGTCGGTCGCGTCGACAGCTAATGCTGCCCGGCAATGCCACGTCGGAGCCGGAACTGCAGGCCCAAGCCATGGCTCTGAGCATGTCTCAGGCTTTGGTGCTGCCGCAATCGAACGGCAGGCTGGAGCCCGTGGAAGAAGAGCCAGCGGTGCAGTGCCGACGAAGGCTGAACGATGCCGTGATCAAGGAGAAGATGAAACAAACGGACACACGGCTGGCTAAGATGGTGGGTAACCTGGTGGCGCATTTCTACAACGGCACCCACGATGCCCAGCGGCTGGGCGAGGAGATTGTCGAGGATCTGGTCAATTCCTGGTCCATTATCCTGGTGGCCTGCTTCTGTACTCTGATTGCCTCGCTGGTGTTTATTGCCCTGATGCGTTGGCTCTCGGCGCCCATACTGTGGTTCTCTATCTTTGGCGTCCTCACCGGCCTTCTGGTTGCCATCTATTACACCGTCCGGCAGTACATCTTCTGGGAGAAGACGCCCACCGTCCCGATACATGGTCTCAATCTGCAGTCGACGGTGAAGAATGTTCTGCAGAACCAAAAGACCTGGCTCTATCTGTCCATCTTCGTGGGCGTGTGCTTTGTGGTGATCCTGCTGTTGGTGATTGTCCTGCGGAAGCGTATCCGTATTGCCATCGCCCTGACCAAGGAGGGCAGCAAGGCCGTTAGTAGTGTCTTCAGCACCGTCTTCTTTCCCATCTTCTCGTGGGTGCTCTTCATAGCCGCGATCGCCTTTGCCATCGGCGTGGGCCTCTATTTGGGCTCCATAGGACAACTATCGTTTCGCATGGTGCAGCGCTTGAACGAAGCCGGCGAAGTGACCAAGGAGCGCTGCGTGTGCGAGGGTCCAGCCATCAACTATACGGTGGGCAGTGCCTGCGATCCGCAGTTGTTTGAAAAGCACTGCTACAATCCGGAGGCCTCGACGACCGGCTTCTTCCAGCAATCGCAGCGAGTGGCCTGCTCCCAGACGACATGCAGTTTCCTGGACATCGACAATCCGCCGCTGATCAAATGGGCCATTTTCTACAATATTTTCGGCTTCCTCTGGCTGAGCTTCTTCATTTCTGCCTTCAGCGATATGGTGCTGGCGGCCACATTTGCCAGCTGGTATTGGACGTTCAAGAAGCGCGATGTGCCCTACTTTACGCTGGCACGAGCCTTCGGCCAGACGGCCTTCTACCATTTGGGGACGCTGGCCTTTGGATCGCTCATCCTGGCCGTGGTGCGTCTCATCCGCCTGGTGCTGGAGTACATCAATGAGAAGCTGAAGAAGTACGACAATGCGGTGACCAGGGCGATACTCTGCTGCATGCGCTGCTTCTTCTGGCTGCTGGAGACATTCCTGAAGTTCCTCAATCGGAATGCGTACATCATGTGCGCCATCCATGGCAAGAGCTTTTGCACCAGCGCCAAGGATGCCTTCAATCTGATAATGCGCAACTTTTTGCGGGTCATAACCTTGGATCAGGTCACCGACTTTCTGTTCTTTATATCCAAGCTGCTGCTCACGGCCGGTGCGGGCGTGGCCACCTATTATTTTCTGGCCAACAATCCGGCCATTGTGCAGCTCCATCATAGGGCTGTGCCCACCACAGTCGTCGTGATAGCTGCCTTTCTCATAACCAGCGTGTTCTTTGGCGTCTACTCGACGGCAGTGGATACGTTGTTCTTGTGCTTCCTCGAGGATTGCGAGCGAAACGATGGCACGCCGGAAAAGCCCTTCTTCATGTCCAAGCAGCTAATGAAGATTCTAGGAAAGAAGAACAAGCTGCCGCCACGTCAGCGTCGCAGCAAATAGAGGAAAATCGAAATGACAGTGCAAACTAAAAGATAATGGAAACTCATCTATATACATATATTTATAAATATTATTACATATATCCCATACCTTATCTATTGGGTTGTGAGCCCCATTGCTCAAAGCCTCAGAGGATGACGAGAAGTAGAGCTGCAATAAGATTTACATGAAATGTATGACAAATGCAACTTTTTCTTTACAGAACTTGCCAGTACTTTTAATCTCTCCAATCTCTAATCTCCCCTTTATAGTTACACTATGTAAATTTGATTTGAAAAACGAAGACGGAGGAAGGAAACGTCTGTCTGGACATCATGTGATAAGCGCATACGACACTAAAGACCAAAAGCAATATAAAACCTTTAAAAAAAAAAACATTTACACCCAGTGGTCGGCAGCAATACCATAACATTATTGCCGTTTAGCAGCACCTCTGTATACCATCCCCACAAGATAGGGCCGTGCCGAACCACTGACACCAACAACCACACATATCTCTCGAGAACCATTTGATTTTTTGCATCCAAATTGGACATCATATATCGAATTTAATAAAATTGAATTCCCATGCAGTTTTGTTTACTTTTTTGGTTTCGCTTTGTACCCTCATTCCATTCCATTTCCATGAAAATGCTCAGTGTTTCATTCATTGGAAAGTCTGATTTTTGTATGGCAGAGCGAAAGCGCGACAAGAGATAAATGCTAGAACATAAGTTTTATAAATTTCGAATACATAAAATAATAAACATTAAATACTGCCACAAACACACAAAGCCGGCGGGTATCTATGATGGCCCCCAGTCCGTCGCTACATGGAAACATCCTTCAGCACGCTATCGCTGGTGTCGAGCAGGTCATCCCCAACGTCAAGCTGAAGAGCAAAGTTCTTCGATTCATCATTCAAGGCGTTCATTTCATTCTCCTTATTGTCGAAGGTGTCCTCGAACTGCTGCAAATCAGAAACCCCCATGAAAACTGAACTAAAAACTCACTGAAGACCACCACTGCACTCACATCCATTGTCCGGTCGTTGAGCAGAACGCGTGGCATTATTTGTTGTTGCATCGGTTCGTGGAGTGGCGTTTCGGGCACTAACGGATCCAGCCGGCCCGACGGCGATGTACTGAGATTCTGGACATTGCGCGAGAGATCCAGCACCTTCCTCACAGCCGCACTCTTGGCCACCAGCGAGCTGTTGGCATTGGAAGACCGGGGGGGAATGCGCTCAATGCGTGTGCAATCATTGCAGCTCGACGGCGTCAATGGCTCGCTGACGGCAGGGGAAGATTCTGCAGGGGATGCTACTACAGTGGGCACGGGCACAACAATTCCACCTGGGGCATCGTCAAAGCCGAACGAGGCCTGCATCTGCTTCCATTTGCTGCCCAGCGATGACAGATTGAGCTGCTGCTGCTGCTGCTGCGTGACTGACACTGAGGGTCTGGCCGTGGACTTGCCGATGGTGCGCAACAGCTGCATGGGATTGGCCACCCTGGATCGGTTCAGGGTGCAACTGAGATCACTGGACTGGTCAAGGGATTTCATTTTGCGCGCTGATCGTGGCGGTGCAGGGGCTAAAGAGGTTAAAGTTAAAGCATTATTATGATTACAATGGACAAAATGGGAATGTAAATTGTATACCCAGTAAACTGTTGCTGAACGTGTCCAGTTGTTTGGCCTTAAAGTCATCCTGCAGGGGCAGCCGGACGTGCGCCGTGCGCAGATTACCGCTGGCCAAATCGAATCGAATGGGCGGCGTGGACACCAGCTTCATGGCGATGCCATGGGCGCGCATATCCAGGCGCGGAGTGCCAGCCACTGACTGTTGAAGCTGCGTCTGCGCCTGATGAAGGCTGCTGCTGCTGCCGGTCTTTTCCTCTCTGAGCCGAGCATTCAATTTCCGTTGAACTCTGGTCACCTGACTCTCCATCTCCGCCAGTTCAAGGCGCAGCGCTTGCAGTTCTTTGGTCACGACCTCGTTGGATTCGTTGTAGTGGTCGTTGGCATCCAGTTGCTCCGCAATCGTATCACTTACTCTGTTGAAGGCGCCCACCAGGGCATCTACATTGGAGGCGCACATCGGCTCAGCATCGCTGTCGAGGAGCTGGCGCATGTCGGTTAATGTCTGGTCCATGGCTGCTTTGTTTTGATTGTGCTCTGCCTGCTTGGCCTGGAAGCGTTCGATCTTCTCTTTGAGGTCCCTGAGCGGTGACTCTAGTGTGGCATTGGTGGCAGCCGGCGCAGATATCTGATGTTGCACAGCCAGTCGATTGCTTGCCACAAACTCTTCCAGGAAGACATTGTCGTACAGACGTTTCTCGGGTATCTCCGTGATGACGGAAATCTCCGAAATGATTTGTCTTATTTTAAGGGTACTCTCTCGCAGAAGAGCCACATTCCGTTCCATTTCCTCCACATACGACGATGCATACTCCTTCAGGAGGGAATTCTGCCTGCCCATCACCTTGACATTCAAGTCCCGCAGATGGGATGAACTCGTGTCCACGAGTAAGATTTTTTCACGTTGCTTGATCAGCTCCTGGACCACAAAGCCGACAAGGTCCAGCATAAAGTTAATGAACTTATGGCCACCGGGCATGACCACCAAATACGACTTGATGTTCGCCCACTGCAACTGATGCTTCTCGTTCAAGTGCTTCAGGTACTCCACGGTGCAGGAGCGGAAATTGGCCTCCGCCTTTTTGTCAGTAATTGGCCAGAAAAAGCGCCGCTTGAACTCCGCCGGATCCAGCAAACGGAACAGATAGTACATCACCTGAAAGAACGCCGCCTGATTCGGCTTGAGGAACATGTCCCAGGAGAGCAGCTTTCGCATCTCCTCGCCCATTGGATAGAGTAGAGCCAGGCCCTGGAGCTTCTTGTGCAGCTTCTCGCTTTGCTCCTTCTCCTCGGCCTTCCAGGGTGCAATTACCGTGCGGTCCATGCTCGTTTCTCATTCAGGCTTAATTGGTTTAATTTGATTATTTTCCAATATGGCCCCAATGTTTGGTTGCTTTTTTTGCGCCCCGCCGCTTTGGTTTGAAGTTTCGCGTTCTGTCATATGTTCGAGTATGTGTGCACGATCATATCGATATTGCAGTATCGATAGTGGCAGGAGGGTCCAAATTGAAATTGTAAATGTTCTTTCAGTGATTGGGATGCAGATATGTTTAAACCTCTACTCTGCCAATTATTGATAAAATCATCAACGGCACTTAAAAACACCAATGATTGAGCGCGTTCACCAGCACAACTTGCTCAGCGCTCAATTATGAATTGCAAACAGTAGTGCCGATTGTTAGTGATTTTCAAAATATCATAACGATGGCAAAGATCCTATTGCTACCATAAATAGTATCGGTAGAGTCATCGATACAGCATCACATCACTAACTCGTCGAATCGCTTGCAGGAATTTTGTGCAGAAAATATTTATTTATTTATATTATAAACTAATAGGTAATTTGAATATTCAATACAACAGTAACAGTAGAGATGAATTGCGAGTGAAAAGCTCGCTGGATAGTGAAAAACTAAGTGAATTTGTGACTCATAAAGGGGCGGAACTAAATGTCATCCGGGTCGAGTGCGAGTGCGGGGTACAACGTAGCACTTTCTTTTTGTCTGCAGCAGCGAAAAATCAATATGTGTATGGGGTATAGAAACCGAATCGGCTGTCGCACATACACATATAGTATAGAGGCAGTGGACTGATTATGCAGATGTCTGGACGGGGACAAGTACCACTCACTCTCACGATAATCACATCAGTATAACGAGCGGCAACAAAAATATATAAACCAGTGTTCATGTAATTTAAGATAGCCGCACAGCAATGAGTCCCAGTCAAACTTTAAACAGCTCGTCGTCTGATGATGATTCATTTAATATACGCATTTTTATTTATATGTAATTTGCAGAAAATCGGTAATCAGGCGTTGCTTTTAAGGCTGCAAAGATGGGTTCGTTGTTCCGTAGCGAGGAGATGGCTTTGTGCCAGCTCTTCCTACAAAGCGAGGCTGCCTACGCCTGCGTGTCGGAGTTGGGCGAGCTAGGCTTGGTGCAGTTCCGTGATGTGAGTACCTCCAATATGTCCGAAGAAACTTGGATTTACCTATTTTGCTATCTATTTCGCAGCTCAATCCCGATGTGAACGCCTTCCAGCGCAAGTTCGTCAATGAGGTACGCCGCTGCGATGAGATGGAGCGCAAGCTGCGCTACTTGGAAAAGGAGATCAAGAAAGATGGCATTCCCATGCTCGACACGGGCGAGAGTCCCGAGGCACCACAGCCCCGTGAAATGATCGACTTGGAGGTGAGTTCTAGAGTGTAATGATAGAGAATGTATGGAATTCTATGGCTTCTTCGCGTCTGTTTTTTACAGGCCACCTTTGAGAAACTGGAGAACGAGCTGAGGGAAGTCAACCAGAATGCCGAGGCATTGAAACGTAACTTTCTGGAGCTGACCGAACTGAAGCATATTCTGCGCAAGACGCAGGTCTTCTTCGACGAGGTAAGCATGCGGTTTCGCAGCAGCTTTAGTACGTGGCGGAGGTTGGCACTAAACCCAAAAATTAAACCAGTCCAGTCGTCGGACAATTCCTAATTTCCAATTAACATACTATGTCTCAAAAGAAAAAAAAAAACAACAAAAAAACTAACTAACTTTTCTAAGCAATAACCCGAGAACCTGCACCGACAACACAAGTGTGGCAAGCAGCCTCTGGTTTTTGGTTTCATAAGCAATCTCTATACTATCCCCCGCCCCAATTCCACGGTTGAGTCCAGAAACACAAGACAACACACAACAAACACAACTCTTGGCACATCCCTCAGATGTGAAGTTCTTTTTTTTGGCACAATTCTGCCCTCAGACGAGATATGTGCTTTCCCCTTCGTTTGATTTTTGTACAAAATACTTACTGTAATTGTTTTTTGTATTCTCGTGTGTTAGTTAGATATCAGTTTATGTTTATTTGTTTCGATTCGATCCCTCAAATGCTTTTTTTCCTCCAACTATGCCGAATCTGTACATATATATATGTATATATATATTAATTATCTGTATGCCAGGACCGACCCCCCTCTCCTTATTGTTTAGTATTAATTTAATGATCTTTTTTTTTCTATTTTTGGTTATTTTATGATTCGTTTTTTCGTTTTGTTTTTCCATATCAATCAATATATCCAATCAATCCAACCACACCTTGACCAAAAAAAAAAAAACACCCAAACCAACCCACACAAAAAAACAACAACACACACCACACACACACACACCCCGTACTGCCCGTCCTGCCCGTTCTGCCGCCGCCGCCCCGGTTGTGTTGTCAGTCGGTGCCCACGGTGTACCAGTCGAGTGTCCCCCGTTCATCAAACAAATATCGGCGCCTTCTGCAGATGGCCGACAATCAGAACGAGGATGAGCAGGCGCAGCTGTTGGGCGAGGAGGCGGTGCGTGCCAGCCAGCCGGGCCAGAACTTGAAACTTGGGTAAATATTGCTGTAGTCGGAAAACCAACAACAACAGCAGCAGCAACAACAAGCAAAACCCCACACAACAAATATGGGAAAACTAAACTCAGTGCCAAAAAATCGCCAAAAAAAAAAGAAAGAAAAATCAAACTCGACTCTTGCTCGCTCTTGTTCTCTCACTCCTGCTCTTCTCCAATTCGGCTGTTCTATGATACTCTTGCAGAGGGTGTCACTTTCTATAAATCTATTCTGTCCTTCCGTTTATCTGTTTCTATGCATAAAAAGTCTCCCAGTTGTACTATGCCATAGAAGCAACAATAACGTAAAGATTTCAATTACCAATCTGCAAGGGTATCTAAAGCGTCGGTGCCCGAAGCTAGTTGTGTGTTTTTCTGTTTCGCCTATTCCTTGTCCCCCCCACCCACCAGGTGTTATCTCCATATGTACAGTTGCAAAGTATTTTACATATATTTGTGTGTTTGTGTGTATGTATGTGTCAGTCCCATAAATAACTGTCTTTCGGTATGCTATACACACGTTAGTTCCGGTATCGATAGGTTTTGGCTATCGAAGCTTACAAATCGAACTCAAACATAAAAATCGAATTCAAAAAAGCACAAAATCTACATAACGTTTGCTGTGGTGTCGGTTTCCATTCTATCCATTTGGCTATGCTCAACTATACTATCCCCCTCTCCTGTCCAGAGTCCAAACCCAACCCAACCCCAACAAACAATCCACACACATATCCACACGATACGACTCGTATAAATTCTAATTTGGAGGCGGTTCTTGACTAACCAGCGAGCTACTAACTATCCATAAGTTGTATCTACTTAGCTTATGTAAAATGCCTAGCCGAAAAGCAAAGATCGAAATCACATTTTGAAAACCTGAATTTCTAGCAAGAAGGCGGTGTGAACCAAACCACCGAGTCGATGACGCGCGCCCTTATTACCGATGAGGCGCGCACCGCTGGTGCTTCCATGGGCCCCGTTCAGCTCGGGTACGTATCCAGGATTTGGCAGGCACAACACACACATTCCACCGAATCGGCCTAAGAAATATGTTCTTTCGCATAGCCTACTACAACTATTTATATACTATACATATAACCATATAACTTTATACGATCTCAACAAATGCCACACAAAATTATTGCTTACTGCCGCCGCCAATGCCAAAAAAAACTAAGCCGCCACTGCCGCGCTTCAACAGAAACAGAACCAAACCGAACTGAACCGAATCCACAATCCATTCCCTCAGAACATCCAAAGAACAGCTCCAATCGCATGGAAGGAGTCTGGTTTCAAGCAATAATTTTCTGTGCAAATCCTACCCTCAAAAACAAAGAATAGCAACAACTAAATCAAACGTCCTTCTCTTCTTATGCTTCCTCTCTTCCCCCACACAATAAACGTTTTCCAAATGTCCAAACAACAAACAAAAAACAAAACCGATCTTTGGTTTCAAATATTTAGTTACATGGAAAAATCGAATGAACGTGAGGATTATCTTCCATGGTTGGTACCCGTGCCCCTACCAAAGCTCTTCATCTCTTAACTGCCGATATAGTCTAGGAATCCAATCAATCAATTATACTGCTCATCCTCAATCGATCAAAAAAAGCGCTCGCTCATCCACTTGTATTTGTATTCGTACCGATCGATTCTGTCGCTGTATATAGAGACCATGCCATTAGCTTCGCTCGCCCGCACTCGCATTCGCACCCCACACCTCATCCCATTCCGATCTCCGTTCCGATCCCAATCCCCCCAATACAACACGCTAACGTCTTACAACCCGTCCAACTCCCATGAAGATCCTTGGTCGTTTCTCGATCTGTTCATTTCATGCTCCTTGCTCGTGCTGCGCGCGTGTTCCATTGGTAAATTTTGTGCTTGAGAGTTTAGTTTTCCTTTTGTTTGTCGTAAATAACCGGAATGTCTCTCTCTGTTGAATGTCCTACCCCCTCCGTTTGGAAGATCCGTATCTAATCTGTATCTTCCTTAGCTTTGTGGCTGGCGTTATACTGCGCGAACGATTGCCGGCCTTTGAGCGGATGCTGTGGCGCGCCTGTCGAGGCAATGTGTTCCTGCGCCAGGCCATGATTGAGACACCGCTGGAGGATCCCACAAATGTACGTCGATCGATTAAGAGAATTAAACCGTACTCAAGTCCTCCTATTCAAAACCATTTGCAGGGCGACCAGGTGCACAAGTCGGTGTTCATCATCTTCTTCCAGGGCGATCAGTTGAAGACGCGCGTCAAGAAGATATGCGAGGGCTTCCGTGCCACGTTGTATCCCTGTCCAGAGGCCCCGGCCGATCGTCGTGAAATGGCCATGGGTGTGATGACGCGCATCGAGGACCTCAACACGGTGCTGGGCCAGACGCAAGATCATCGCCATCGCGTGCTGGTTGCGGCCGCCAAGAACCTCAAGAATTGGTTCGTGAAGGTGCGCAAGATCAAGGCCATCTACCACACGCTGAATCTCTTCAATCTGGATGTGACACAGAAGTGTCTGATTGCCGAGTGCTGGGTGCCCTTGCTGGACATCGAGACCATTCAGCTGGCCCTGCGACGTGGCACAGAGCGATCGGGTTCGTCGGTGCCGCCGATTCTCAATCGAATGCAGACATTCGAGAATCCGCCTACATATAATCGAACAAATAAGTTCACCAAGGCCTTCCAGGCCCTAATCGATGCGTACGGAGTGGCCAGCTACAGGGAGATGAATCCGGCCCCATACACCATCATCACATTCCCGTTCCTATTCGCGGTGATGTTCGGGGATCTGGGCCATGGCGCCATTATGGCGTTGTTCGGCCTGTGGATGATACGCAAGGAGAAGGGCCTCGCGGCCCAGAAGACGGACAACGAAATCTGGAACATATTCTTTGGCGGTCGCTACATCATATTTCTGATGGGGGTATTCTCCATGTACACGGGCATGATCTACAACGATATATTCTCCAAGTCGCTGAACATCTTTGGCTCCCACTGGCAGATGTCATACAACAAGTCAACGGTGATGGAGAACAAGTATCTGCAGCTGAGTCCCAAGGAGGACTACGAGGGCTCGCCGTATCCGTTTGGCATGGATCCGATTTGGCAGGTGGCGGGATCCAATAAGATCATCTTCCACAATGCCTACAAGATGAAGATTTCGATTATATTCGGCGTGATACACATGGTCTTTGGCGTTGTCATGAGCTGGCACAATCACACCTATTTCCGCAACAGGATCTCCCTGATCTACGAGTTCATTCCCCAGTTGATGTTCCTTCTGCTGCTGTTCTTCTACATGGTTCTGCTGATGTTCATCAAATGGATTAAGTTTGCGGCCACCAACGAGAGTAGGTTCCATCGAAAAACGATTACTTTTCTTCAATTAAAGAACATTTCCTCCTGCAGAACCCTACTCTGAAGCCTGTGCCCCCTCGATTCTGATCACATTCATTGACATGGTGCTATTCAACACACCGAAGCCTGCGCCCAAGGACTGCGAGGTGTACATGTTCTGGGGCCAGCACTTTGTCCAAGTGCTGTTCGTTCTGCTGGCTCTCGGCTGTATTCCCATCATGCTGTTTGCCAAACCCATGCTGATCATGCAGGCCCGCAAATTGGCCAATGTAAGTAGTGGTTAACACGCATTCAACCGCATCTAGACATCATCACAACATCACTCCACATGGCACTCCAGACTCCAGACTTATACTAACCGCTTCTCGTTTATTTGTGCTTTGTCCTCCCATTGAACACACTCCCAATCCACACCACTAAACCAAACCAAACCAAACCACACGTAAATACCAATTCAAATACTAAAGGAAGAGGTTAGTCGTGTCGTAGTACTACTCCCTTGTGTGTTTTGCTGTGTGATCCCCCTTCATCCACTGACTCTAATCTCATAATTTTTCTTGCACTTTCTGCGCAGGTTCAGCCCATTGCTGGGGCCTCATCTGATGCGGAGACTGGTGGCGTGTCCAATGGCGGACCACATGGCGGCGGCGGACCCCACGAAGAAGAGGAGGAGATGTCGGAGATATTCATACACCAGAGCATACACACCATTGAATATGTCCTGGGTTCAGTCTCTCACACTGCCTCCTATCTGCGTTTGTGGGCACTCTCCCTGGCCCATGCACGTAAGTTCTCCCAATAAGAGATCCCCCAATCGATGACAAATGTTTTGATACCCCCATAGAGCTGGCAGAGGTCTTGTGGACCATGGTATTGTCCATTGGTCTGAAGCAGGAGGGCTGGTTCGGCGGCGTCATATTGACCTGTGTGTTTGGCTTCTGGGCCATACTCACTGTGGGCATTCTGGTGCTAATGGAGGGCTTGTCGGCGTTCTTGCACACACTGCGTCTGCACTGGTAGGTTTTGAGTGGCGTGCTTCCAATTCAAAAGAAAACTGCTTAACAAACCTCTTTCCTTAGGGTCGAGTTCCAGAGCAAGTTCTACAAGGGTCAGGGCTATGCCTTCCAGCCGTTCTCATTTGATGCCATAATCGAAAACGGATCTGCTGCAGTAGAAGAGTAGAGGACCCCGGAACAGAAGCAGCAACAGCGATAACCAAAGCATGCTGAGAGTCTCATTGAGCTATAATTACAAAAACTATCCAAATAAGCTGATCTATTGAAATTGAATTTAACAAAAAACAAAACGTAAAATATGTACGCTTTAATGTTCAATAATCGTGAATTTATATCTATAGCCCCCAAGCACGTGTGTTAAATGCTAGTACATAATCGATTAATGTTCTATGTAGTTGTCGTCTGCCGTGTTTATTATATCTACTTGTATACTCATAAATAAATAGCAAAACGCCCGCTTTAAGGGTCAGCACCAAAAGAAACACTATTTGTTGGCGGAATGTGACCATCGATTGGCCATCAGCTCGTCCAGGGCATTCACAAACTTCAGCATGTTCTCGCTGGCCGACTCGTAGGCTCTGAGCGACGCAAAATCCAGAGTAGCCAGTTGGACGGCCAACTGGCTGGGTTTGCAATAGTAGAGGTACTGCTCGGAGGCCAGCTGCGTGGCCAATTCCTGCTGATGGTTGTCCATCAGCTCGTCGTTGACCACAATGAGTCCAGCCTTGCCGTTAGTCAATATATCCATGCAGGTGCCGGCACCGGCATGGCCAATGATCAAATTGGAGGCCTTAATATCCTCAGTATTGGGTCGAAACGTGTACTGCTCCAATTGGATCCCGTATTGCTGGCTTATCCGTCGAGACTCATCCGCTTGTACCGGCTCGGAATTGCCATGCTGCAGGATGAGTTTGCGGCACTCCCGGGATTGCAGGGCTTCCAGAGCCGCCTCTGACGTTACGGCCTTAATGAGCGCATCGAATTTTGTGGTTCCAACAGTCACATAAACGGTTTTTAAATGCATTTAACAAGTTTTCTTTATTATTATTTTTACATTACAGCTGATCTACCGAAAACTTTAAAATATACCGTAATATACCGAAAGCTTGATGAGATATACCGATATCTTTTTCGATTTCAACGTCAAAACATACCGAAAACGGTCACCCTGCAGCACTTCTTTTTAGAGCTTTCCGATTCAACCGTTACTTTTATGTATATGTTCTGGTTCATGTATATGTTTAAATTATTGACTTTGTATTTATAAACATATTTACTCAATTCATATAATGTTCACATTCATTTTGCCACCCACGCACATACATTATTTCGCATGAGCTTCACGATCTACCTGATATGCTGTGGCTGGCGCTGATGGTGATGCTGGCGACGGTCTGATGGGCTGCCTGGCATTCTGTTCTCAGCCGTTGAGCTTAACGGTTGTTGTGTTCGCCTGCTCCATATAACGGTCGTGGTCCACGTCGTGGTCGCTGGGACAAATTGCAAGCTCAGCACGCCGGCGCACAAGTGCTGGGGAAGTGTGATTTGTTAAGATTTAATTCAATTATCAATCAACAACGTGCGCCTGCAAAAGCTTGGCCCACTACACTACGGCCATATACATATGTATATATTCGAGTATATGCACGTACATATATAAATTTGCTCTTGCCAGTGTAATTGTGTTTGTGGTTTTTATGTGTGGGTGACCACACTCAAATGCGATTTACTGCACTTTTGCGTGGGTGTCGTCGTTGTCTCCAACATAACAGTAAAGGTGTGAAAGAGTAAACAAGCGAAGCCAGTGAAGGGATAAACGGTAAATTAAATTATTCTCACGTTGCTTACTTGCTCTTGCTCTTCGAATTGCTCTTCGACGCAGTGCGTTTGAATGTGTGTGTGTAGGTAAATGTTCTGTTCGTGTGGCCGTGTGTGGGAAAGTAATTGACTAATCAACACTTCATTTAATTTAATTTTTATTTCTGCACACTTTCAACTTTGTTTATTTTTTTTGCCGTTTTCAAGTTTTTGTTTGCTGGTGGATTTGCGCTTCACTTGGCGGCATCTGGAAACGATTAAAAGATATTTACAGTTTCCCAGAGTACAGAGTACATCTCTCTCGCTCTCTCTTCTATTATAATTATGCTCTCACGCAGGATCCATAAATTAAAAGCAAAAAACTTTCCTTGGCGAGCGGCTCGTCTTTTTATGATCGCAAATATTCATTGAAAATAGAAAAATATAATATTATGCATATACAAATTTGTAGAAATCATATTGGTACACTCGAAATCCAATTAGACCAGTAGTGCAAATTATCGAGGCGCCCATCCCTAGATCAGTTCTTCGGCACACACACCCATGCATACCGCCCCCCACCCACACGAACGTCCGAAATCACTCATCGCCCAATAAATTCTGTCTTTATTGGTATTGGTGTCCGTTTGATGCTGCTACTGGGAGAGGAGAGGAACAGCGATGAGCGATTAAATTTGTTTTAATGTCTTAATCGTGGGTGTGAGAGAGAGAGACGGAAGCAATATTTACATGTCCGTTTAGCCGGTGAAAAAGACCACACTGTCTACCCTCCCCCTTTCTGTGTCTCTCTGAATAATCACATTCTCTCTTTCTGCCAGACGCAAAGGCGCTACGGCATCGATGTCCTTGTATTAATTAATTGACTACAAAGTATATGTATGGCCATATGGCTGCATCATCATCGCCTCGCCATCGGCTTGTACGCAGTTTATCAATGAAATATAGCCATAAATTGGATCCCCAGCGGGAGTCAGTCCACACCCGTTCATCTCCCATCCCATCCCCCATGGGCGTCATATCGTTTGCAGCCTTATTTCCATGAAGGTCAGCCATCGTGTCAGCATCGGGTCAGGGGGATTGACTTCTGTAGTAGTTGTCGGCGTTTAATTGCTGTAATTTGCAAAAAAAAACCAACAAAATAACAGGAACAGCAGGAGAATGAGGGAGAGGCAGAGGAGCAGAAGTGGCTGATCAAATTAATGTCATAACTCAATTAGTCGGGGCGGACATATTTGCATGAATGCTCTTCTCTGCTCTGCTCTGCTCGTTCGTATAAGCTGATTTATGGCGCTGTTGTTGCGCTCCTCAATTTATTCTCAAACTTAAACTTTTGCCAATTGATAATGACATCGGGAGTTCGGACATTCTGTTCTGTTCTGTTCTGGTCTGTTGTTGAGCCCCCGTAATCTCTCGCTGAATTGCAGATGAAGGGTCATGCCCCCACCACCCAGGGGATTGACATTTTGTTATTGAATGTACCATATAGTAAATATTTCGACCATAAGGTACTTAATCTTTAACAAATATAAATTTAACAAAAAATCAGCACTAGACTTAGACATTTTAAACAGCTTCTAATCGTTTAATGTCGTTATCATACCTCTTAAAGTGTACAAAATCCTCGTGATTATGCAGACAGACAGACAGTAAAGAAGGACATGGTTAGATTTAAGCTGATCAAGGACTTAAATATCTGAATCTATTAGAATTCATTCTGTCTGTGGCCTTTATCAAGGAGAATTTGGGAGCAGTCCAACAATAAAAAAAGGTCCTGCCTTCTCTTTTGAAGCATTCGCTTGTGCGTCTCGAGTCGAGTCTCAATTCAATTTTATTCAACATGTTTGTAGGTATTTTCCTGGAACTTTCTGTCTTCTTAAAGACACATTCTGTGTATTTCTATGTAGAAATAAAATATGGCCCCCTATAGGAGTATACGAGGGCCTTGGTCTGCCGAAATTTCGATTAGCGTAAGTAATTCCTCGCTTCAAATATGGAATTACCAACGGAGACCATTTTATTATGTTGCTTGGACCAGTTTCGAACAAGTTGCCAGCGGAATTTCTTAGTAAGGAAATATCAGACGATTAAATGACGTTGACGGGAAAACACTGTTCAGCGAATGGTTATGCGAATCTCGTAAGTAGAATATACGAGTATCTATGTAGATCTTTAGAGCGTTAGCTTTGTGCATCTAACGGCAAAACAAAAAAACCCATTGCGTGACATAACTGCGGTGTGGGACTAGCAAAAGCGACAGTTGAATATATCTTTAGCTGTCTGCCAGAGGGATTGTCTCTACGAGCATTACATGAACAATGAATGATTTGTTGCTACCCGTTGTTAATCATACAGCGAGCGGGGATGAGCTAATGGCAGCGTCACGTTCTTGGCCACTCCCCCTCGCAGGTTTCGTTAACTAAACGATTACTTACCCCACAGACAGGCAGAACTGATGGCGGTGGTGCGGGCAACCCTTTTTTCCTGTGGCTTCGCTTCCTTTAGCCAGCCGCAAAACGGGAGAGGGCTGCCCAGTTTGATCGGCAGTGACACATGACACAGAGCCACCAGAGAGAAACCACTTAAGTGGAGAGAATAATACTCGTAGTGTCGTGATTGCAGGCAACCTGCAGCTGGATATCACATTACCTGCTGCCACCACGCCACACCACAACAGGCAGGAAGTGGAAGTGGAAGTGGAAGTGGTGTAGCCCAGATCATGATTACTAATCGATAGCTTCTTCCTGTCTTGCAGAATCGTTTTGCACTCGAGATGGTCGTCAAGGAGATGCCCCTGCACGAGAATCTCAGCATGGAGAATCGTTCTGGCAGTGCATCCGCTCCAACCACCACAACGACCAGCTTCTCGCGGCAGGGCCGACACTACAGCCTGTCCCTGACCACAGCCGTGCTATTGTCCGCCTTCTTTCTGTGCACCCTGCTGGCCGTGGGCCTTATTGTTTACAACTTTGCCACATGCGACCAACTGACGAACGGCGAGGACATTGTCTGCACCAGTGTCCATCTGCGGCACAAGCTGCGCCACGGCCACAGCGATGGGCCGCCCAAGTACGATCGGGATGTGCGCCTGCCCCGCTCCATACAGCCCCTCAAGTACAACATCACACTGGTGCCGCAGCTGAGCGGCAACTTTAGCTTCGCCGGCACCGTGCAGATCCGCATACGAGTGCTTGAGGATTGCTACAACATCACCATGCACGCAGAGGAGCTGAATATCTCGCGCAGCGATGCAGCCGTCTACCGGGTGCTGGCCAAAGGGGAGCTCGACAAGGACACTCTGCGGATACACAAACAGTATCTGGTGGGGGCCAAGCAGTTCTTTGTGATCGAGCTGTACGACAAGCTGCTGAAGGGAGCGGAATATGTGGTGCATCTGCGCTTCGACGGGATCATTCAGGACTACCTGCAGGGATTCTATCGCAGCTCCTACGAGGTGCTCAATGAGACGAGGTAGGGTTTAGGGTCCTGCAGGAAGGTTTCATCTGGTTTATATTCTGGTTCCGATTTCAGGTGGGTCGCATCCACACAGTTCCAGGCCACGGATGCCCGACGCGCCTTTCCCTGCTTTGATGAGCCGGCTCTGAAGGCAAACTTTACGCTGCACATTGCCCGGCCCCGTAACATGACCACTGTGTCCAATATGCCCATTGTGTCCACCAATAACCAGTAAGGATTTCAGGGACTACCATGCCAAAGAGCCCCTCTAATGTTCCTTCTGTTGTATCCACAGCGAAACCATAACCAACTATGTGTGGGATCATTTTGCCGAATCGCTGCCCATGTCCACATATCTGGTGGCGTATGCCATATCCGACTTTACGCACATCTCCTCGGGCAACATCTCCGTGTGGGCACGGGCCGATGCCATCAAGTCAGCGGAATATGCCTTGAGCGTGGCTCCCCAGATACTCAATTTCCTGCAGGACTTCTTCAATGTCACGTTCCCGTTGCCAAAGATCGACATGATCGCTCTGCCCGAGTTCCAGGCGGGGGCCATGGAGAACTGGGGATTGATTACCTTCCGCGAGACGACAATGCTGTACGATCCGGGTGTGGCAACGGCCAACAACAAGCAGCGTGTGGCCTCGGTAGTGGGTCACGAGCTGGCCCATCAGTGGTTCGGGAATCTGGTGACGCCTAGCTGGTGGTCGGACATCTGGTTGAACGAGGGTTTTGCCAGCTACATGGAGTACATTACGGCGG